TTCCTCTGTAGACAGAGGAGCTGTTGTTACATATAGCGTGTTCACCATGGACTTGTGCCCTGTGGGGATCGTCACGATCCCTTTCCATGTCTGCTTTGCAGGGATTTATTCCTATTGTTATTGAGAAATCATCCTAGGGAGGGATCTTGGAACTTGAGTTCAAAGGAATGTGCCCATAAAATGTGACTTGCGGGGGGGCAGGATTCTGGGTCCTGGGCTGCACTAGTTTGTCCTTGGTTCCTATCAGTAATGGGGAAATTGCCAGACTGCAGGTGAGTGCCAGCGGAGCAGGTTAAGTGAGATGCCTGAAGCTAGCTGGGGCTACTAGGACAGAGTAAATAAGTGAAGCTGGGCCCGCTGTTGCCTTTACAAAGCCAAACTTCTCTTTGAAAGCCTCTAGATTCCCCTGTTAGGGGTGGCTTGAGTATCTTGAAATGAAGCTCACCCTCAGCTAGGCTAGAGCAGTCGGCAGAAGGGATGAAGGGGTGAACAGCACCTTGTGAGCGTGTTCTCTCTACAGCAGTCAAAAACCAGTATCTTCCCTACTTCTGCCAGACGTAAATAAATAAAAGTACCCCCCCTTAGATCTGCAGTCGCTGCAGCTTTCTAGCTCCCGTTATCCCAATTATGTAAAGCCTTTGGAGAGGGGCTGCTGGATCAGACGCTGTGTCACGTCAGGTCGTGCTGAAATCCTTATTCCTAGAATGATTCCCGAGAACGGCCCCGATGGGTCACGCTGAAGGTCTGCCTCGCTGCATAGCTGCCTCTGACAATGGCCAGCGCCTGTAGCCTTAGGAAAGGTGCTGCAGAAATTAGGGCAGCGCCGTCTGATCTTTCCCTGCGTTGTATCATTGCCCTGATTTACAGTAAAGCGGTGGCTGTGCAGCTTTCCCCCGTTCTTCAAGCGGAGTGGTTCATCCGAGGTGAAGGAGCGGTGCCAGGAGGAGTCCCGCAGCCCCTGCTTCGCAGGGTAGCATCTCGCATCAAAGGAATAAAACTTTCTGCTTTAAGAAACCCTCACCCTCTGGTCTCCTGAGAAGCTGAGCAGCCACTGGAATTCATCTTGGAGTTTTACCGAAAAAGTACTCGGTCTGTCTTTCCGTCTCGGTGTCTGTAGGATTCTTCCTGGTGGGGGTGACTGGTGGTTTTTTTAGCCCTTCCTATGCTGAAAGCATTCAAGTGTAGTAACTTCACCGCACTCCTTTAGGAAACACAAATATTATTACATGGTGGGAACAGCAAAGCAGAGAGATGTGACGTGAAGGGCTCTGAATCACGACTGGCGTGGAAGCAGCTCTCGGCCCCGTTCAGTGTCTCTGGCCCTAAGTGTTTTCTTATTTTTACAGAGCCCGTTTCTCTGGCACCGATATGTTTTTAAGGGCTGAATACAGACGCTTCTGTTGTTTTTCAGTTTTGGACTGTGTAGAAAGCTTTTGCCTTTTATGTACAGCACCGCCATCCCACGGTCCGTCCAGCAGGCTCCATACAGAACCAGAACGTGAAAAACGGCCCCGAGTAAGTCAGGCTTTAACGTGGAGGCTGAAGCAGCTATTGTGAAAGAAACAGAATGCCTAAATGGGGAAGGGAATGTCACTGTCACACCTCTAAGGGCTGTCTTCACTAACGGGAAAAGTGTGCTTTTAGATGCGTTAGCTCATCCTTTAAATATCCCTCTGTAAACAAGGAGAGTTTTATTTTTAGCATAATCACTGGTCGAAGTGAATCCTGGATCCTCAGTTCCCTCCCTGTCCTCCCTGTTAGGATTCACCAGAGGTGTTTTTAGTAGATGAATTGTGATCGGTGTTACTGATATTCCGCTGTGTTTTCTTCTCTCCCCCTCGCCGCCCCGTGTAGCACAGACATCGTGTAAGTTGACCTCGCTAACTTTTATTTTCTCCTCCCCTTTATATCTCGACTTTTAGTGTTCTGGCTGGAGCAGATATATCGCAATCTTGCTGCAAGGTGACAGAGCCGTGACCCTGCAAACCGCCAACGGTGCTGGCCTGCTGCTTGATGCTGAAAAGCCTCCGCGCCCGGGCGCGCCGTGCCTTTCTAATTAGATGCGCCGTATCTCCCCTGAGCTGCACGAGGTGGAGGGACGGGGCAGTTCCGCACCGCTTGCTTTCGGCTGTGTGCCAAAGCAGGGCAGCCAAAGCCCAGCTTGTGCTGTCCTGTGACCTGTGCGAGAGCGGGCGGGGGTGTCCTGCCCCATGAAGACAGCTCTGGGTCGTTTCGGTCTCACCCACTCCGAATGCCCAGGCACCCCCAAAGTGCCAAAGGGGATTGAAAGACGCGACACAGATAAAAGTCAACCTGAAATTCCTTCTTCACTGCTGGCTTTCATTCTTGTAGGGTGTATTGGATCCCGTGCTTTTCTTTGCGAAGACTTCTCTTTCATTTCTCCAAACTTTAAATGCTCTTTAAATGTATTGAGATGACACCAGATCATAGGGCTTTGGTGGCGGTGGGGAGCCGGCGATCCTGATCGTGTTCTGGGAGGTGCAGTCTGCTGCAGTGGGACTGGCTTTGCTCTTCCCTGCCTAAAGATCCCCTACGAGCAGCCTTTAGCTGAGCGATATGTGGACAATTAAATCCTCTCAGCCCAATGCATATCGCTGTTGTGCCGTGGCCGTAGCAGCCTCTTAGACCCCTGCGAATGAATTATGCAACTGGTATCCCTGCTTGCCTGCGCATGCTCTGCATCACCGGGAGGTCCTGTCCCTCTCAGCGCTCGCTCGAGCGGGAACACAAGTCTGATCGTTGCTGTGGGACCCAGAGACCGCGGTCCCCGAAGACCGAGCTCTCTGAAGCCAGCCCGTGGGTACGTCCGAGCCTGTCCCTGCCCCTGTGTTCCAGGAAGGCTATTCCCAGCTCTGGCGTGGGCTCTGCGCACGTTTCCCTGAACTCTTACCAACGCAGTTGCTTTCTCGCAGGCAGGGCAGGATGCAGAGTGGCCGTGAGCCCTTTTAAATGCCCAAATACACCTTCCTCCTCCCATGGTTTTATTTCTCAGTTTGCAGTTTATTGTGCCCTTGCTGAGAGGCAGAGCGTGAGGCTGCGGGAAGGTGCCTTTGCTCCGAGCTGGGATGTGAGCAGCTCTGGTGCGTGGTCCTGCCGCAAGCTGGGGAGCAAAGGCAGGCGCTGCCGATCCTGCGCAACCGTCTCACGTTGGAGGTGAGGTAGCGAATACATGGTGTGCTGGTGCCGGCATCCTTCACGTGCCCGTGTGTGCTCAGGGTACGCCGAGCTGGGTACCGGTCTGTAGCTGGGAGGTGACCTTGCTTCAGAGTAGGGGTGCGTTGTGCTTTTCCCTGTGATGCTTAGCATATGTTGAGGGTCTTAAGGCACTGCGTGCTCTTGCTGGGCAGTAACCGTCTCACGTTGGAGGTGAGGTAGCGAATACATGGTGTGCTGGTGCCGGCATCCTTCACGTGCCCGTGTGTGCTCAGGGTACGCCTAGCTGGGAGGTGACCTTGCTTCAGAGTAGGGGTGCGTTGTGCTTTTCCCTGTGATGCTTAGCATATGTTGAGGGTCTTAAGGCACTGCGTGCTCTTGCTGGGCAGTAACCAAGCCATCTGACTGCTGGTATTTCTGCCTCCCACCTTTATCATTGCCTTCCCCACCCCGTTCTGAAGTAGCCCGTGTGGCTCAGCCCCATGAGGACAGGCTTGTGGCCGGAGACTCCATCAGCAGTCTGCTGGAGACATTGCTGCCCTGACGAAGGTGCTGCTCAGCCCCCTCGTATCTCTGGGGGTTTGATTAAGGCTGAAATATCTACATCAAATGCTCTGGGCTTTAAATTGTGAGTGCAGATATAGCCCGTAACCTCAGGAGAGGGTGATCTGCATCCAAGCTGAATATTTTGGGGAGCAGCTGTTCAGCTCCGGTCGAGGCAGTGGGGTCCTGTGAAAATGAGCTGCAGGATGTGGGAAAGAGCCTTTGCCACGAGGGCAGAGGCCAGCCTGGAAAAGATCCCGCAGGGAAAAGCCTCCAGCTCAGTAAGAAGGGTTGAGATCCGCTCCTCCCCGAGCTGCTCGGTGACCGGTCGGCTCCGGGGGCTGCTGGGGAGCTGGTGCGGAGGCGGTGAGGGGCAAGGGAGATGAGGAGGAGGAGAGGGCATCCAGCACGGGGGGCACCATCATTCTCTGCGTGTCATTTGCCCGTCTATAGCAAGCAACCAGCTCTGGGGAGCAGCGAGCAAGCAGGGCACGAAAATAGTGATTTGGAAGAGCGGTAAAGGGTTTAGCCATTATTTTCTCTGAAGCAGGTGAAAGTCGGCCAGGCAGCAGCTTCGTGGCTTTAGACAAGCCCTAGGTCACGCTGTGCCATGCCGAATAGCAGCAGGAGCGGGCGATACAGAGGAGGGTGATGGGGGAACAGGGCAAAAAGAGTAGGAAATGAGGCTTCGTGAGTTGCGTTAACCACAGAGCAACTTGTAGGAGCTCCTGGGCAAGCGAAACGCTGCACGAGGAAGGCAGTGCAGTCAAGTGCCGGAGCAGCCACAGCAAACGTGAGCCCTTGCAAGGGGGACGACTCTCCCACGGTGCAGCCTCGATACCCTTTCAGGTGCTATTTTTGTACAAATAACTATATGTCAGCTCTGGAAGTTTATCCTGACATTTCTACGGTGTTTTCACACAACAGCAGCATTAAATTGGATCGACTTAACAGGGATTGCAGCCAAGCGCTTTGATGCTAAGGGTTGCAGTAACCGCTTGTATTTCTCTGCCCTCAGCAGTGGACTTTGCGGTGCAGCAGGGCAGATCCCTGTCCCGAGGAGCGTATGCACTGTTCAAACCACCTGCTGCCAAAACGAAAGACGGAATAGAGAAGTGCGCGGCCGCAGAGCCTCGCTTTTGAAAAGTTTTCTATTTTATGAAGAGAGTCTTCGTGTTTGCTTAAGTTTTAGCAAAAACCAAACGCCAATTCGTCACAATTTGGTTTGCGTTTTCTGTGTTTCTCTGCAAACTGATGTGTCTCTTCTTGTCCGGTTCCCTTAGTGCTCCTCACGGCAGTGAACTGTTACAGCGTGAAAGCCGCTACTCGTGTGCAGGATGCCTTTGCTGCGGCAAAACTGCTGGCGCTGGCTCTGATCATCATTCTTGGCTTCGTGCAGCTTGCAAAGGGTGAGTACGTTTCCTTTTTCTTTTGAAGGTGGTGTGCAGTTAGAGCAGAAGCTGGGAATGAGGGACAAAGCCCAGGAGTCCTAACCCAAGCATTTCAGAGCGAGCAAAAATGCTTTACAAGCGTCTTTTGTTTTCTTGCATGCTTGGGTGATATTTGCAGCTCATGCTCTGCAAAGGCTGAGTGCTTTTGTGCATTTTATTTGTGAGATTTTGTGTTTACCTTGCTGAAGTTACGCTGGATTTCATGCTACTGGAATCCAGCATATACCACCCAAGGTCTTTTCCATTTAATTCAGTCACTGTGCAGCCTCTCCCTTTGAGATTGCAGAGCTGCCAAGCCTACACGGATTGAAAATTTTGGTGCTGTGGCTCTCAAAAGTCTTTTCTGTAACTGGCGGCTGGTCATGGCCATTTGCTAGTAGAGAACTATCTGCATGTGCAAACCAACCCCCAGTAATTTTCATTCTTTAGCAAACTGCCCCCGTACGTTTCCTTCTTCCCGCTTCCCATATGGAATAGCTTGATCGAGTCCAGGGGGTCACGTAGGGACGTCTGGGTCAGGCAAGGCTGCAGAAACCACATGATGAACGGTGACATTAGAGCTCTCAGCTGACACTAGCATGCATATCCGTCAACTCGCATCTACAAAAGAAGATAAAAATGGGGGAATAAAGCAAGTTTTTGGGTGGTTTTGCTTGTGTCCTTCACGCACGCTTAAAATCCTCGCAAACGTAGGGAGGTATTTTTTCCCAAACCCACCTGATTAACTGACCCGCACAGATAAGCTTTACTGTGTGCTTTTTTGTGCGTTTTGTGAAAATCAGCTTTTCTTAGGGAACAGTGCAGGCCCTTTTTGTTAAACGTGGATAAAAATCTATATAGTCCCGCCTGTCTCTGTACCGGCAAGTGTGTGTGTGTGTGTGTGTATGTTTGTGTGTGCACATGGGTCTTTTTAATTCCTGTCTCAGCTATGGGAGCCAGTGCTGTCTTCGCAGAATTTCTTGCTTTATCAGAGGTTTTCTTTTCTTCCAGCTGGGTGCCTGTGCTCAACAGGAACATTGTTTGAGGCTTATCACAAAATAGGCCTCCTTCCTCTTCATAACTCCCCAGGCTACTTTGCTGAACTTTTTTTTCTCTCTTAGAAGGAAAAGGATAAGTAAACATAAATCTCTTAGTTCTTTAACATTTTGCTAATAAAAGGTCTTTACGGTTGTTTTTTACTTGCAGGTAACAATCTTAATTTGCTTCTTCAGAATCACCTTCCCTCCCTCTGTACTGTTCTTTTGTCCTTTTGTCGAGGGTGAGTCCCTTTCTGCCCTGGTTCCTCAGGTATAAATACATGATATTTCCATTGTTATATCTGTAACCAATAAGAGATTTCAATCCTGGGTACAAAAACCCCCGTCCTGTACTCTTCTGTCTCAGAAGCTTTTTACCTAAACTTTTTTCCTAAAAGCCTGTTTAACCTCTGAGTAGGTAGGTGATCCTGGGTCCCGTACATAACCACAGCGCCGTGCCTCTGCTGCTCCTCTGTGTGCCCTTGTTTTCTTTTGTACCAGTTCCAACGCTCTTTGTCCAAAGAGGACTCTTACCGCTATCAGCTCAGAAAATTCAGTCCCAAGCCGGCAGCTATTCTTGGGGTGAAAAACAGGCCAAGCTGATTTGTCTGGGGCTGCAGTTTCAGTGGTGAAGGGGTTGTGTGTTCCCATGACGCTCGGGATAGTGCCTGAGTGCTGATTAACTTGCTTTAATGGTTCCAGTCCCATTGCTGGTTTATGTTTACAGCATCTATAAACAGAGAAGAGGAGCAATACCACAGTTTCTTGCTCAAATGTGGAAACTTCTGAGACTTCACAGAAGTATGTCCTTCTTTGTATTGACCTCCTGCCTTCAGCTTTTGGCTTTTCTTCTTTTTATCCTTTCATTGGATATTTTCGTTATTTTCAGAAAAGCAGTAACATCTAAAGACAAAGAGCTATGTGGCAATACTACCACACAGAAAACAGCGTTTCCTTGCGATCTTTCTGTGGACAGCTGTTTTACATCACTTCTTTCATGCGACTTCAAAAGGAGGGTGGACGTTGGTCTCCTACTTAGGCAGCCTTTCAACGGCCTGAAAGTTGACTCGGTAGAGCTGACCCCCTTGGGATGCGATTATTTTACTAATACAAAAGTTACACTTTTAAAAGCCTTTGTGGGGCTAGGGCTGTTGTTGCCTTAAAAGTTCAGCCTCCTGGACTTAGTATATTGGTGTGTAAAACCTTATATATGGACCCCCAACTGCACAGCCCACCAGCCTGTAGCACTTCAATAGTATCAATAACTTACAGCATAGACAGGACCAGGGTGTTTTCACTCCACTGTTACTAAAAACTAGGCTTATTTTTGCTTTTTACCGTTTTACCAGCTCTCACAAATTGCCTTCTGTCCAGCCCCCTCTAGGTATTTGCTGGCCATATTCTTGGCCTGGTGAGCGGGATGCCTGGGACTGGATCGCGCGGGCACCCTGGACGGTGGCTGTGCAGGTTTGAGGGATGTTTTCTGCACTGGGTGTGCCACAGAGCTCCGTGGTTAGGTCTGCAGCTGTGTCCTCCATCACCCCGCACCTTGCGGTGCCTTAAAAACCGACCTAGGCGTGAGACAGTCAAAAAAATGTGCTAATCCTTAAGGACACACCCATGCTTTTTACATGGGGGGAAATTCAGCACAGGTTTTGATGTTTAAAACAAAAAATAATCTAAAAAAATATCACGGATATCTTTCAGATATATTGTTTTCTGTTGCTGATGTCCTAGGGTTTCTTAAACGTTTACCTGACCCTGGGCAGCTCGAGCAGCGAGGTGCCGTTAGTTTGCCGACGGGGGAGTGCTGCAGTGCTGGGCGCCAGCCCTCGCTGCGATCCCTCCCCAGCAGTTCTGCTTCAGAAAAAGAATTGGGCATTTGGGACTTGGGGAAATAGAATTTAACGCTCATTTTATTGAATTATTTTTTATTGAACTTATTGTCCCTTTTGCCTCTTAATGCCTGATTTCTGATCTTAAATTTCTCATCTGCGGTGCCTCGAGTGCCTGTCTGATGGCAGCAGCATTATTCTAACGCCCTTCATTGCGCTTGTCCGGGAGCAGCAGAGTTGCATCTGCTGAACAAGCACGGGGTGGATTAAGGACAAAGTAGGCAGGTTTAACTCCAGACATTTGCCATGGAGAACTTGGACTAGGCAGAGAGTTTTGGTTTTAATCTTGTTTTTTCTTTAAATAGATATGCACAAGATCAGCCAGCACTGGCACCCCCCGCCCCAATATCATTTGCTCTTTGTAAAAAGGTATTTAGAGGTGTAGTTGCGGCTGGCAAATTCTGAAAAAAACACGGGCGGGTTTCTGAAAGTGCCGAAATGAAGGTTCAAACCTTCAGTCATTGATGTGTGCTTATCGTGTCTGGGAGGCCTCCTGAAAAGATCATGGAAGTGCCCCGGGTGCGAGGCAGCATCTCAGCGCTGCGGGTGAGCATGCACGTCTCGGTGCTGCTTTCATTTATCGACTCTCTTTGTCTCTTGCTAGAAAACACCCATTTGGTCTCTGTCTTTCTCTGTGAGGGTTATTTTGGTAGTTCCCTGCCCAAACTTTTTTCTTTGCCTTTTTTTTTTGTGAAAAATCCTGTGATTAAGAAAGACCTGAGGGGAGGGAAAGTTTACTCACTCTTCCTTTCCTGGCAGGACAACTTGATTTCATGGCTGGTCCTTAAAATCTCAGGTTCCCTCAGGTCCCAAAGCACACCGGTGCACAGATACTAAGAGACAAGAAGAGTGGTCACTGTCTGAATTATCCTGGGTTTGTACCTATGCTTAATCACGCTTGGCTGTCCAGAGATGGATAAGCACTTAGCATAAAGAAATCTGCCACAAGTTTTCCTTTGACCCCATCTCATCTCTCGTGTCCGCAGCGTGAAGCAGAGAGCGAACCTGATCAGCAGGTCGATGTTCACGAGTCTGTTTTCAGTTGATTTATTGGGTTTTTTATTTCCTGCCACGTCAGTCGTGACCTGCTTTTTTGCTAACTGAGGGCAGATGCAGCCATGCCTTTGCAGGCACGGTGTGGTGTTGTACGCAGCAGGGTAGCCGTGCCGCGGGTGTCTGTGCCCGGAGGGACCAGCTCACCCAAGGGCCTGGCTGTGGGACACGACCTGGGACATGAGAATCTGCTCATGGTGGAGCCGTAAGTGTCTGAGAGGAGTTTGGAGCCCAAAGCCAAAGCAGATGGGTGTTCACCCGGCCAGCCCATGACTAACTCGCACTGTAGATCCTCTTCGACAGGCAGGAGGCAAAGCCTAGGGATAGTAAACGTCCCTCAAGCTTTTCCATGTGTCCCTGCAAGTTGGGGCTGAGGCTCGTGCACAAAAGATTGCAAGAAAAGTGTGCCCTGCAGCTGCCCATGCTGTTGCTTGTTACGCTGGCATTCAGAAATGCCACTATAACGTGAATTTCCAGCAGTTAGCTTTGAAGGAAAGCTATTGTGCTTCTCTTACTCACCCCCTTGTTCACAGAGCACATGGAGAGCAGAAGACTGTACCGAAGGAGAGCATGAATAAGGGAGCTGGGACAGCTGCCAGCATCCTGCACCTCTAAGTCACATCAACCACGTGTTGGAGATTAATCAGGCGTCTTAACGCTGGAGGGTTGATACAACACAATTATGTTTTATGGGCCTCTCACTCTCTAATCTTTGATTTCTTTTCCAGCCAAAGGTGGATGCAAATGCTGAGGCCAGGTGGGCACGGCAGCTTAGCGTGCTATGCAGCTCGCCTGCTCTGGTTTGGAGCGAGACCAGCGGTTTGTTTCTGCTCAGACAAATTTTTTCTTGCCCTCTCCGCCCAGAAAATTTTTGGCAATTATAGATTCAAGGATAGAGTTCGGCCTGCGGGGGCTTTTGCATTTTACAAGTGCAAAGTCGCCTGTCCAAAAATAAATAATATGCATTTAATAATAACAACAACAACAAAAAAAC